CTGTCCTTTCTCCGGAGCATTTTAGCAAGTTCACTGATAGTTTGCAGATGAGTTGGTGTAATTTATTATCTAATTAAACTCTGCATCTTCTCATTAAAGCATTGTTGAATTCAACATATAAACTGAAGGTAGAGAAGAGGTGAGATAAAATATACATTATCCCACAATATTGCTTTACTCCCTGAATAAGAACACTAAGAAATTTATGGACTGAATCATTCAATAGTTTGATTAATCTTTCTTTAAATCAAACAGAAAAGCTACTGTCACACTCATACGAAATCCACTTTATATTCATTGTTTTCTTTGGCCTATGTACCTTTAAAATGGTTTAAATTCCATAGCTATGAGCGGCTCTTGTTGATTTATTTTTACGGCTAGATAGTATTGATGGGATTACATTAAATGAATAAATCAAATGGTGAGAACATGGCACAATTGGGTTGTTATCAATGCCTTTGTTTACTGGAAAGCTCAGTCACTCAGTGAACACTCATACCTATATCCTGTGCTCATCCTTCTTCCACATAGCCATCTAGAATATTTGGTGAAAAGCATACTATAAAAGGTGTGTGATGGGATTTTAGCTATACTAACCTCTAAAACTTGACAGCATTGTCAATGGTGGAACACAGACGCTTCACAACAAGCATAGGAATAGTTCACACCACCTACAACAGAGTGTATGGTGAGAAAAGGCTGGGTAAGAGATAGAATTGCAACCTAGCAACATATATTACATTCTATTTCTTCTAACAAATCATCTGTACCAAATGGCAATGTATTAACATCTGTGCCACCTTGGTGATAATTAAAAAGACTTCCCTTCTCCTCGATATATCACATCACACTTGAAATGTCTCATAAGCTATATTGGAAGTTATCGGGTGCTGTTTTTATTTTTTATTTTTTTTCCATTTTTTTATTGAGAAAAGGAGAAGAAAAAAAAAACATGTTTCCACCTCCTCCCAGCCTCCCGTTTCCCTCCCCCTCCTCCCACCCTTCTCCCCCTCCCCCCATTCCTCTCCCTCTCCCTCTCCAGTCCAAAGAGCAGTCAGGGTTCCCTGCCCTGTGGTAAGTCCTAGGTCCTCCCCTCTCCGTCCATTTCTAGGAAGGTGAACATCCAAACTGGCTAGGCTCCCACAAAGCCAGCACATTACGTAGGTTCAAAACCCCGTGCCATTGTCCTTGGCTTCTCATCAGCCCTCATTGTTCGCCATGCTCAGAGAGTCCAGTTTTATCCCATGCTTTTTCAGTCACAGTCCAGCTGGCCTTGGTGAGCTCCCAATAGATCAGCTCCACTGTCTCAGTGGGTGGGTGCTCCCCTCGTGGTGCCGACTTCTTTGCTCATGTTCTCCCTCCTTCTGCTCCTCATTGGGACCTTGGGAGCTCAGTCCAGTGCTCCAGTGTGGGTCTCTGTCTCTATCTCCACCCATCACCAGATGAAGGTTCTATGATGATATGCAAGATATTCGTCAGAATTGCTATAGGATAGGGTCATTTCAGGTTCCCTATCCTCAGCTGCCCAAGGAACTAACTGGGGACCTTGGCTTGGGCATCTGGGAGCCACTCTAGGTTCAAGTCTCTTGCCAACTCTAAGGTGGCTCCCTTCACTAAGAATTGTGCTTCCGTGCTCCCCTATCCAACCTTCCTTTATCCCAATCCTCCTTTTTCCCCAAGTTCCCCCCATCCTCCCCTTCTCCCTTTTCTCTCCCCATCTCCCCTTACCCCCATCCCACCCCACCCCCATGATCTCAATTTTCTCCCCGGCCATTTTGTCTACTTCCCATAGCCAAGAGGACAACTATATGTTTTTCCTTGGGTTCACCTTCTTACTTAGCTTCTTTGGGATCACCAATTGTAGACTCTGTGACCCTTGTTTATGGCTAGAAACCAAATATGAGTGAGTACATCCCATATTCATCTTTTTGGGTCTAGGTTACCTCACTCAGGATAGTGTTTACAAGATTGGCAAACCCCTATCCAAACTAATCAAACGGCAGAGAGAGAATTTGCAAATTAATAAGATCAGAAATGAAAAGGGGGACATAACCACAGACACAGAGGAAATTCAGAGAATCATTAGATCTTACTACAAAAGCCTATATGCCACAAAACTGGAAAATGTAAAGGAAATGGACACTTTTTTAGATAAATACCATATGCCAAAGTTAAACCAGGACCAGGTGAACAATCTAAATAGACCTGTTAGTCGCGAAGAATTAGAAGAGGTTATCAAAAACCTCCCTACCAAAAAAAGCCCAGGACCAGATGGTTTCAATGCAGAATTCTACCAGAACTTCCAAGAAGACCTAATACCTATACTCCTCAATGTATTTCACAATATAGAAACAGAAGAGGCATTGCCAAATTCCTTTTATGAAGCTACTGTCACACTGATACCAAAACCACACAAAGACTCAACCAAGAAAGAGTATTACAGGCCAATCTCACTCATGAACATCGATGCAAAAATCCTCAACAAAATACTTGCAAACCGTATCCAAGAACACATTAGAAAAATGTGATCCATTATGATCAAGTAGGCTTCATCCCAGGGATGCAGGGGTGGTTCAACATACGAAAATCTATCAATGTAATCCATCATATAAATAAACTGAAAGAAAAAAAACCATATGATCATTTCAATTAGATGCTGAAAAGGCATTTGACAAAATTCAACATCCCTTTATGATAAAAGTATTGGAGAGATTAGGGATACAAGGGTCATACCTAAATATAATAAAAGCTATATACAGCAAGCCGACAGCTAACATCAAATTAAATGGAGAGAAACTTAAAGCCATCCCACTAAACTCAGGAACACGACAAGGCTGTCCACTCTCGCCATACCTCTTCAATATAGTGCTTGAAGTTCTAGCAATAGCAATAAGACAACATAAGGGGATCAAGGGGATTCGAATTGGAAAGGAAGAAGTTAAACTTTCGTTATTTGCAGATGATATGATAGTGTACATAAGCGACCCCCAAAACTCCACCAAAGAACTTTTACAGCTGATAAACAGCTTTAGTAATGTGGCAGGATACAAGATCAACTCCAAAAAATCAGTTGCCTTCCTATACACTAAGGATAAGGAAGCAGAGAGGGAAATCAGAGAAGCATCACCTTTCACGATAGCCACAAACAGCATAAAATATCTTAAGGTAACTCTAACCAAGGAAGTGAAAGATCTATTTGACAAGAACTTTAAGGCATTGAAGAAAGAAACTGAGGAGTATACCAGAAAATGGAAGGACCTCCCTTGCTCTTGGATTGGGAGGATCAACATAGTAAAAATGGCAATTCTACCAAAGGCAATTTATAGATTCAATGCAATCCCCATCAAGGTCCCATCAAAATTCTTCACAGATCTTGAGAGGACAATAATCAACTTTATATGGAAAAACAAAAACGCAGGATAGCCAAAACAATCCTATACAATAAAGGATCTTCTGGAGGCATTACCATCCCTGACTTCAAACTCTATTACAAAGCTACAGTGAGGAAAACAGTGTGGTACTGGCATAAAAACAGAGAAGTTGACCAATGGAATCGTATAGAAGACCCGGATTTTAACCCACAAACCTATGAACACCTCATTTTTGATAAAGGAGCCAAAAGTATACAATGGAAGAAAGAAAGCATCCTCAACAAATGGTGCTGGCATAACTGGATTCAACCTGTAGAAGAATGAAAATAGACCCATATCTATCACCATGTACAAAACTCAAGTCCAAATGGATTAAAGACCTTACTATCAGTCAGAACACATTGAACCTGATAGAAGAGAAAGTGGGAAGTACCCTACAGCAGATGGGCACAGGAGATCGCTTCCTATGTGTAACCCCAACAGCACAGACATTAAGGGCAACATTGAATAAATGGGACCTACTAAAACTGAGAAGCTTCTGTAAAGCAAAGGACACTGTCACCAAGACAAAAAGGCAACCTACTGACTGGGAGAAGATCTTCACCAACCCCGCAACAGACAAAGGTCTGATCTCCAAAATATATAGAGAACTCAGGAAACTAGACTTTAAAATGCTAATTAACCCAATTAAAAAATGGGGCACTGAACTGAACAGAGAATTCTCAGCAGAGGAAGTTCAAATGGCCAAGAGACACTTAAGGTCATGCTCAACCTCCTTAGTGATCAGAGAAATGCAAATCAAAACAACTTACACCTGCCAGAATGGCTAAAATAAAAAAACTCCAATGATAGCCTTGGCTGGAGAGGCTGTGGAGGAAGGGGTACCCTCATCCATTGCTGGTGGGAATGCAATCTTGTGCAACCACTTTGGAAATCGGTGTTTCAGTTTCTCAGGAAATTCGGGATCAACCTACCCCTGGACCCAGCAATACCACTCCTGGGAATATACCCAAGAGATGCCCGGGTGCTGTTTTTAAAGGGAAATTCTTGTATGTTCTACAAAAAATACTCGATGTACCCAAATAGAACTTCTTCTACAAGAGAAGCATAAACATATGCTTTAAAAAAAAAAAACCTTAAAGATGTATACATCTCTTGTAGAAGAAGTTCTGTTTGGTTTTTAAAAATCAGCTTTGACGGTTAATATTCAGAAGGATGCCTATATGTTTGTCTTTGGATTCACCTTCTTATTTAGCTCCTCTAGGATCGCGAATTATAAGCTCAATGTCCTTTATTTATGACTAGAATATTAACCTTCATCAGGCGATGAAAGAAGACAGAGACAGAGACCCACATTGGAGCACTGGACAGAAATCTCAAGGTCCAAATCAGGAGCAGAAGGAGAGGGAGCACGAGCAAGGAACTCAGGACCGCGAGGGGTGCACCCACACACTGAGACAATGGGGATGTTCCATTGGGAACTCACCAAGGCCAGCTGGCCTGGGTCTGAAAAAGCATGGGATAAAACCGGACTTGCTGAATAGCGGACAATGAGGACTACTGAGAACTCAAGAACAATGGCAATGGTTTTTTTTTTTTTGTTTTTTTTTTTGTTTGTTTTTGTTTTTGTTTTTATGAATGAGGCAATTTATTAACCCAGCATCCTTTGTCCTAATGCTTCTTGTTGGCAGCTGCCACCTGTCCGGCAATCCTGTCCAGATCTCTCTGTCCCTGAGGTGTTAGCTTGCAGCCCCCGTCCTGGTCCTTTTCCACCATTTTCAGTCCCTCCAGGGCTTGGAGAACGCGGTGGGCCACACTCTTGGAGCCTCTGCTGAAGTGGCTGGGCCTGACACCGTTTCTCTGCCGTCCTCCATAGATCTTGGTCATGGAGCCAACCCCGGCACCACCACGCACCCCTGGCTAGCAGCGCGGAGGCCGCAGGATGCCTGGGGTTACTGTAAAAGACGTTAACCAGCAGGAGTTCGTCAGAGCTCTGGCAGCCTTCCTCAAAAAGTCCGGGAAGCTGAAAGTCCCCGAATGGGTGGACACAGTCGAGCTGGCCAAACATAAAGAGCTTGCCCCCTATGATGAGAACTGGTTCTACACTCGAGCTGCCTCTACAGCACGGCCCCTGTACCTGCGTGGTGGTGCCAGGGCAGTGGGTTTTTGATCCTACTGCACGTACTGGCTTTGGGGGAGCCTAGGCAGTTTGGATGCTCACCTTACTAGACCTGGATGGAGGTGGTTGGTCCATGGACTTCCCACAGGGCAGGGAACCCTGATTGCTCTTTGAGCTGATGAGGGAGGGGGAGGGAAATGGGAGGCGGTGGCGGGGAGGAGGCAGAAATCCTTAATAAATAAATTAATTAAAAAAATCGGCTTTGAAAAGAAGAAAAAGCAATTCTCCATATAGCAGCAGATTCCCACGTAAACAGTGCTTTCTACCCGACTCACTGAGGTCAGTGGTGAAGAATATTCGTTCAGGTAGGTGACCCATGTGAAACAGGACAGGCCAACCCGGTCTGCATCCAGGTGTTTTACCAACTCAGGCGGATAAAGAATTCAACCCTCGGGTGAGAATGAAAGTACGGGCTTTTGAAATTTCATATGAGAATGGAGGTGAGGATAAGCCACACAGAAAGCCAGAGCTGAAGATGCAGGCACTGTTGTGTTCTCAGACTTTGGGAAGTCAGAGAGGAATCAACACAGCTGAGTGGGAGTAATGGGCAAGATACTCAGTCTTCTTGATGTCAAAAATGAGAGTAGCATTATCGTAGTGACAGTTGTAAGAGCGTTCAATGAAGTAGCATAAGGAAGTGTTTGGCATATCAGTGAAAGTCTGTTAGCTCGGTATTCAATCATTCATAACCTTGAGCACCAAGCATTCCCCATCATGCCCTGAACACTGATCACATGTGCAGAAACACATTTAAGGACCAAAGCACAATACAATCACTGCACGGAAAGCGGTCTCCACACAACTGTAGTAGCCACCTGCTTCTGCTATTGCTTCAGGAAGCTGTCCTCGACTCTGACACATTTATGCCAGTATACGTTTGCCATGGAGGGTCTGACACCAAATGAGCATGCACAAGTGCACTCTCTGGCTGGCTGCTACTCCTGCTCACTGCTGCTCTCCGATGCTCCCTTTATTCAAATTAAATACCTCATAATCATTTCAAAACTGAGCCTTCTGTTGCTCATCCTCCCGATGTCAGCGCAGCTAACTAGCTCTTGGCAGGCCTGAGCTTCAGCAGGGCTCGGGAGGATGACTTGTAATCTGTACTGAAATATAGCAAGTTGCTTCAGAGCAATATGACTAAGACTCTGTTGTTTGGCCTTTGTCAGTTTCTACACCATCTATGTTTTCATTTATTTGTCAGTAATAGAAAACCTGATTCCTTGCACATTCCTAAGTTAGAGCCATCATCATTTTTATCCTGAACAAAGGAGAGCTATAAAAACCCAAAGAAAAACATAAAAAGGAAAATGGGATCTTATTGAAGCAAAAAGCCCTATAAAATCTGAAAAGGGCTTCTCTGTGGAAGACCTAAACCATAAAATTGATTCTTACTGCTACGTTACCTTTAAAGGGGTTGAAATGAGTGACTTTCAAAGAGTCTTTCCTATTCCTCTTCCCCAACAACACAAAGTTGGTTCTTCTGCAATTGCTGCTTCGAATCCTTGGAGATTTTGAGCTTCAGATGTCCCTCTGACTATTTCTCTTGCTAACAACCTGCATATACATGATTTGTAATCTTTACACATTCATATTCCTCCATAAGAAGGAACTCAATCTTTGCATTCCTCTTGAGCTAGCCATACCCTGTTATCGGTCTCTTCCTGTTAGGCACAGTTCAGCAAATAAAAATACAGGATAATCAGCTAAATGCATATTTCAAATGTGGTGTAGGAGGTTCTTCTGTGTTTGTATTATTTTCATTGGTTATTAAAGAAAACTGCCTTTGTCTTTTGATAGAGCAGCATCTTAGGTAGGCAGAGTAGACAGAACAGAATTCTGGGAAGAAGGACAGTGTGACAGATGCCATGAATCTCCCGCCTGAGAGGGACATATGTTAGAATCTTGCCGGTAAGCCACAGTCACGTGGTGATACACAGATTTAATAGAAATGGGTTAATCAAGATTTTAGAGTTAGGCAATAAGAGGATAGAGCTAATGGGCCAGGCTGTAATTTAATTAATACAATTTCTGTGTGGTTATTTCGGGGGTTAAGCTAGCTGGGTGGCAGGATGCAGCCCGCTCCTCCATACTATACATATGAACAAGTTATTTTATTTTAAGTATATTATACATGCTCAAGTGTCCCTCAAAGGCCATATGTTAAAGTTTAATTGTACTTTATGGTACCTTGGGAGATGGTGGAACCTTTAGGATGCAGGAGGTCTTTAGGTCATTGGGGTGTGTGTTTGAGGAGAATTGTGAGTCTCATCTTTTTCTTGTTTTCTCTTTTCCTTCCTTTCTACCAGGAAGTGAATGTTTTCTTTGCTCCGTTGTGCACTCTTTACCATAATATGCTTCATTCTAACTAGTTCCAAAGTATTAAGTTTAACTATGAACATAAAGTTTCTAGATTATTTTATCAGTTGGCTCATCTCATGGATTTATTAGAGTAACAGAAGATGTCACATCATGCAATATCTGGGATGGATTATTACAAAAAAATGTACTACTTATGTATTGAAAGTACAGGCTTACTGGGTGATGTATTTTATCTGACAACTCTTCGTCTTTCTTAAAATTACTGTCTTCATCATTTACTTGTACCTAACATCTGACTACTGTTGTGCCATTTCTCATGGAAACAATTAAAGTGTTTCCAGGATTCTTCTCAGGAGGAAGCAGGGCAGAGATATCTTCATTGCTGTATTAAAAATATGAGCCACCAGGCAGATATACAAACAAATATAAAAGCAAAATTCTCCTGACAGACATTGACGAGTTATAGGCACAAAGAAATCTTAAGGCAGACCAGCTGATATAAAGGAGACAGACCGATTCCTGTGTCTGATTTCAGGTTGCTCACGAGACAGTCTTCATAATATTTGGTTATAAATCCTTTCTCTAGGCAGAATTCATTAAGGAAGTAGAGTTCACTGGAGAGGTATAAATGCCTCAGAAGCTGGTAGCTAGAAAAAGTAAGATATCCAGTACCAAAAGGGAAAGGATATGACATCATTGAAACCATAGAGAAAGCAATATGTATGAAAAATTTTCTAGTATTATATGAAGATACATATTGACTCAATATGGAACATGACATGTTAAGGATGTCTATTGAAATCCTATAGCAATGAGCATGAAATAATGAATCATTGCTTGAATGGCAATCATTTCGTGTTCGAACATATTTTCATTAGGCCCAGATAAAGAACGCTATAGTATGGAGAAATGAGGGAAAAGGAACAAAGAACCAAAAGGATCAAAGAGGAGAGCACGGCTTAGAAAACAGCAATGGATGCCAGTGTTTGGCATGCCTTCTGCTTTTATTCGGTTCAGGAACCCCATCCATATAACAGTGTCACCCACAATTAAGTCTAATCTTCCTACGTCATCACAGGTTTGTTGGGAGTCTTGTTTCCTAAGTGATTCCAGGTTCTGTCAAGGTGATGATCAATAGTAATCATCACATAATATATATCTCAGTAGAACATTTTATGATAAACTATTTTGCTTTAAACAATGAATGGGAAAAGCAGTAATTCCTGGTTACAGCTGTCATCCCTCTTCTGGCCTCTTTGAGTCTTCAGCCTTGCTTGGCTCTGCCTTGTGCTCATTGTGTTTGTGTTGTTTCTTTGTAAGAAGTACAACTAACGTGCCAGGTATTTAACCCATTTATTTTATTTTATTTTTTTAATTTATTTATTTATTAAGGATTTCTGCCTCCTCCCCGCAACCGCTTCCCATTTCCCTCCCCCTCCCCTGATCAAGTCCCCCTCCCTCATCTGCTTGAAGAGTAATCAGGGTTCCCTGACCTGTGGGAAGCCCACACAAGGAACTCAGGACCACGAGGGGTGCACCCACACACTGAGACAATGGGGATGTTCTATCGGGAACTCACCAAGGCCAGCTGGCCTAGGTCTGAAAAAGCATGTGATAAATCTGGACTAGCTGAACATAGCGGACAATGAGGAATACTGAGAACTCAAGAACAATGGCAATGGGTTTTTGATCCTACTGCACGTATTTAACCCATTTAAAGGCACCAACTAATCCAGTACATTTTAGGATATGTAGGGAATTTTGAGCCATTGTCATCACCTTCTTTTAGAATATTTGATTTTCCTTAAAGAAGCGTACACCAGTGAGGCATTTTTATTTAATTTCGTTTCTTAAAATCCACTCCTAACTCATGGAATCCAGTTATCTAGAATCACATAGGATACAAAAGCTCCAGCTTACTCAAATGCTTCTAAAGGATTATGTACATCAAGTTACATGCACTAAATAGAAAGAATAAAAGCTGCTGAGCACTGGCACTTGGCCAGGCAAGCGTATAACTAGCTCTGATAGGTGTTTTGAAGGACTCTAGCATTTGAAAACTACCCAGTAATCATGCTGTACTCCCATCCAACCTGGCTCACCTGCCTCTTCAATAGATCTTGGAAGTTTATTAGGATTTTATTATGCAGAGCTAGGAATAAGTCCATTGAAATTAATAGTATACCTGGACTTCTGCTGACCTCAGAGGACATGCTTGCTGTGGACTCCAGAACACATGTTTTCAGTGGACTTCCTCTTGTATTGTAAGAGCCCATCATGGACACAGGTGATTCAAGATGGCAAATACTTCCTAAAGATTACACATACATTTTTGTTTATTTTGAGATTGTATTCATTTATATTTCTATCTTCCCCTTATTCCCTCTGAACCCTCCTATATACCCCTCATACACTT